CCGCCTCTGTAATTTTTCAGTTGCAGCCTCTAATTAGAACAGAGCAGAGCCACCACGACCACCTGGGCAGGCGAAGAGGGGGTGGCGCAGAGCCCTCTACCCTATTCAGTGCCCTATGCCACAGTCTGGCCTCAGGGACTGGGCCTGGGCTGGGCCCCAAGGGACTAGGAGACTAGGGGCCGGAGCTGGGAAGCCCCTGGGGGTGGGTGGGCGAAGGGGCGGAGGGAAGGCTATGCACCGCCCCCGGCCCCACTCTCGCGTTCCCCTAACTCAAACCAGACTCTCCGCCAGATCCTGCCCAAGCTTTTAACCTCGGAGACGCCATCAGATTGGCTGGATGGGTGGGGGGTCGCCGGGTAGCCCAGAGGCTCGGGTCTGAGAAGGAGGTGCGGGCGCGGACTGGGTGGGTGATAAAACCTGGACGGGAAGGACTGGCGGTCCCTCCTGTGACCCTGGGCAGGGGATCGAGAGCTCCTCGAAGGCAGGAAGGAGTTAAAAGCACAGCAGTCAGAGGGAGGAGATGGGAGTGGGAAAGGGGGCCCAGAGCCGGCTCTTTGTCATCCCGTAATGAGCACCAGATGCGGAGCTGCGTGCGGGCCTAAACAGACGGCCTCCCAGGGCAGAACCCCCGCCTGCGCTGAGCCAGGGCTCCGCCCAGGCCCAGAGCTGTGTCTCAGGCTCCTCCCCCTGACTCTCGGGCCCCGCCTCATCCAGGCGCTACCCCAGGCTGCACCAAGGCATCCGCACCGTCAGTCGGGTTCCTGGGAAATACGAGCCACTCCGACCCACTGATGTCCAGCACCCCTCGGGAGTCCTCCAGAGGCTCTGCCCACCAAAGCCATAAGCCTCGCCTCCTGCCAGCTCAGAGATTCCCGCAGAACTATTGCCTTTCCCTGGTTCTATCAGCTCAGCCCCGGACGAGGCAGTACCCATGGCCCCGCCCACCAGAGACATAAGCCCCGCCTCCTCAGCACTCCCCGGCATAGTATAGCAAAGTTATGAGTTCCGCTTCCAGGAGTCTACATACTCTCCTCACACAGCCCCGCCTAACAGAACTAAAGCTCCACCCCTTCCCAGAGTCGGGGACTCGGCCCGAGAGCACAGGGAATCCCACAGACATCAACTCCGTCCAAGAAACATGCAAACTTCGCCCTGCAGGAGTTTACACGTTGCTCTCACGCGCCTCTTTAGACTCCGCCCCTAGCCACAAGCCCCGCCCCTTCGCTGGCGTCCCAAATCGCAGGGGCAGCCTCACAGAGGGAAGAACTACGCCCACGTACTGCTAATACGTTTTCCCTTCCCACTGAGATAATGTCCCACCTACACAGAGCCCTTGGGCCCGCCCACTAAGAATGCCCACGAACCGGCCTCTGACTGTCCCTTAAGTCCTGCACCCGCAGAGAATGTGCCCAACTTCTTCTCCCAGGCTCCGCCTCCTGCTATGAAAAGCCCCTCCTACCTTTAGGTCCCTCCCACCAAACACACACACCCGTAGGGAAGGGTTCCACACTTTGAAACGTTAATTAGACGCAAGCCCCGCCAGCTGTGGGCGTGGGACTCTCGAAGTCTCTCACCGCTTTCTGAGTAAGCTCAGACTAGTGCGTCCGAACCCCTCGTCCCTGACAGAGATGCTCCTGAACAGAACCCAGGAGCCCTCTCTCCTTCCCCGGCCACAGTCTCTGTCAGTCTGGATTGCGGATTCTCTGGAGAGAGCTCCGAGATGGTGTCGAGAGCCCAGCGCACGGCATCGATGAATGGGCCTTTGGCGCCACCTGCCTTCCGCACCGCGGCTTGCAGCCAGCGGGAGGCCTCAGTCCGGCACATCTCCCAAAAAACTCTAGTGCTCAATAAATAGTTTCTTAATTTATTAAATGTTTGTTACACAAATATCTACCGACTATCCTCTCCACCTCCCAGCAAAACAGCAGATCTGTGTGCAAGTGCCCTCCATCGTATTTGGAAGACTCCAAGGAGGCTTCACACAGGCCCTCAAGCCACTCTGTGAGCTGAGATGGTCCCTGCCAATCTTTACAGAGGCTGATGGGAGGGACCCTTGCTGTATGAATCCTGATAGGCGATAACACAGCCTCTCACCAGGGGTTTAGAATTGTTAGGGCTGGGTCCTCCCCTTCCCCAACTAACGTTTCAAGGTGTGGACCCCTTCCCTAGGGGAGGTGTGTTTTGTGGGAGAGAGTGGATTTGGGCTCAGAGGCTCTCACATGGGAGCTGAGAGTCACAGTTTTTGGAGCAAGATTGATCTCAGGGCAGACCTCAATATCAGCGCTCGTCTCTACATTTGAAAATATTTGCTTACTCACTCCCACTCTAGACTGGGGCTCCAGGAGGCCAAAGCACTCGAATTCAGCTCTAGGGGCTCAATACGATGTTTTTCAAACATTATTGGGACAGGCAGGAGGAGCTAAGGTTGAAGGAGGCAGGATAACACCTACTGAGCTCAGTTAGATACTAACACCCAGCTGGGCACCCTTCACTTAAGCACTGGGTGGAGCCACCTCCTGACAAACTCAGGCCTGAGGAGTAAGATGCTTTCTAGCTGTGACCAGCTCTGGTGCCCCCGCTGCTATGAATGTAAGTAGGGTTTGGTGCCAAATAATGATGAAAATAATAGCGAATGCTTGCAGCACTTATTATACGCCTAGTCCTATTCTAAGGACTTTACATGTCTTAACCCATTTAAGATCCATAACAACTACCATGATGTAAGTGCTATTATCACAATTTACAGATGAGAAAGCTGAAGACACTTGCCTGAGTGCCTTGTGTTTAAGCCACCTGTCCCATCTGGACAAGTTAATAAATGGAGATTTGAACCCAGGTAGATTCTGTGATCTTCACCCCTAGAGCAGAGCCAGTCCGTAACGATAACCATGTCTCCGATGAGAAAATGCCCACTGTTTAACAAAAACCTTTGAGGATGAAAATTTTTCTGAAGGAAGGAGTTTATTGAATCTCATGCCAGCCAGAAAAAAAGGACAAGGTCCTGGGCTGTGCAGTCTGGGGGTAAAGTGCCAGCAGCAGGGCCAGGTGGGAAGGATGACGTGTCCATGGTCCTGGACTGACGGGACTCTTTTATACAATGAATTTGGAGAAGAAAGATCTAAGTTGTAGATCTGGCTGTAGACAAGGGGGGCGGGAGAAGGCGAAGTGGGGGCAGCTCTGGGATAGGTGCATAGTCTATAAGGAAGAAGTGTTTGATGCTTCTGGATTGGTCGTGGGCAACAGTCCATAAAGTTCATGCGTAAGCGGGATGTGGTGGTTTCTGGTGGTCGGCTATTCTCTCTAGGTAAGAGCTGAAATAGCCTCCTGGGAGTTGATTCAAAGATTCAATACACATTCAGGAAGGTGAGCGATCTTTTATGGTTTTGGCCCATGGCTCTGTTAATTGATTAACCCCCCTCGTCTCTTTTTCCCACTCTTCAGCTTGCTATTATTTAATTTAGGATGTCTTATAATTTTTCTCATCACCACTTCCTAGGAAAATCTCTTTTAGGGGTTAGTATACAAGAAGCAGCCTCCTAGGCTGATAGTACTGTAATTGGGTGTATGGGTAAAGCCTTCCCCACCCAAGGAGAATCAGTCGTGGTTTGGGTGGATGATGCTGGTAAGTGGGGCATTGCCTGTGACCTCGAGGGATTCAAAAAAGGGGCCCAGACCAGGAGCAGCTTTAGGGCATCTGGCAGTGGCTATGCTCTCGCGTGATTCTGTTGAGTTCAGGGATTTCTCACCGGGAGGCCAACTAGCAGCAAACAGCAGGCACCGGGCACCAGACAGCCTTTCTTTGATTCCAGTCTCACTCCTTGAGGGCTGGGTGTACTGTATACCCGTCGTAGCCACCATAACCTGTTGGAAAGTCAAGGTTTCCTACTGGAAGCCAATGAGGATCTTCAGGGTGGCTGCATGAACCCGCTACACGTAGTGTTGTCTGCTTTAGCTGACATTGAGGCGC